AGGGAAAAGTGTGGCAGAAAACGCTGCACAACGAGAAGAGGTGACCGGACCCTGAGGAGGATTGTGGAGAAGGGCCGATTCCAGACCTTGGGGGACCTGTGGAAGCAGTGGACTGAGTCTGGAGTAGAAACATCCAGAGCCACCGTGCACAGGCGTGTGCAGGAAATGGGCTACAGGTGCCACATTCCCCAGGTCAAGCCACTTTTGAACAAGAGACTGCGTCAGAAGCGTCTCGCCTAGGACTGCTGCTGAGTGGTCCAAAGTTATGTTCTCTGATTACAGTAAATTTAGCATTTCCTTTGGAAATCAAGGTCCCAGAGTCTGGAGGAAGAGAGGAGACAGAGTTCACATTGCTTGAGGTCCAGTGTCAAGTTTCCACAGTCACTGGGGTGTCATGTCATCTGCTGGTGTTGGTCCACTGTGTTTTATCAAGCGCAGGGTCAATGCAGCTAGCTATCAGGAGATTTTGGAGCACTTCATGCTTCCGTCTGCTGAAAAGCTTTATGGAGATGAAGATTTCATTTTTCAGCACGACCTGGCACCTGCTCAGTGCCAAAACCACTGGTAAATGGTTTACTGACCATGGTATTACTGTGCTCAATTGGCCTGCCAACTCTCCTGACCTGAACCCCATAGAGAACCTGTGGGATATTGTGAAGAGAAAGTTGAGAGACGCAAGACCCAACACTCTGGATGAGCTTAAGGCCGCTATCGAAGCATCCTGGGCCTCCTTAACACCTCAGCAGTGCCACAGGCTGATTGCCTCCATGCCACGCCACATTGAAGCAGTCATTCATGCAAAAGGATTCCCGACCAAGTATTGAGTGCATAACTGAACATGATTATTTGAAGGTTGGCGTTTTTTGTATTAAAAACACTTGTCTTTCATTGTTGGGATGAAATAAGCAAATTTTTTGGGACAGGCATTTTGGGTTTTCATGAGCTGTATGCCATAATCATCAGTATTAAAACAATTAAAGACCTGAAATATTTCAGTTGGTGTGCAATGAATCTGAAATATATGAAAGTTTCATTTTTATCATTACATTATGGAAAATAATGACCTTTATCACAATATGCTAATTTTTTGAGAAGGACCTGTATATTTTAATATTTCATGATAATATGCAAGAAAAAACAAACCACAAACCAAACCACCCTTTGAAGATACTTCTTTATTCATGTACAGAGTATGCCGGTAGTTATAGACAACTCAGGGTGACGTCTCAATGTGAAGTTTAAAAGGTGACCGTCTTGGGTGGCTTTATCTCCTCCAGGTCAGGGTCACGGTAATGCCGCCGGCGGTGACGACGCAGAACCTCAATCGCCCTTTGTTCTACGGTGGAAGCAGTGATCCCGAGATCCTCCATACCAGGAAGTCCTGGATACTTCAAGTCTGATATGTGAAACTGGAACAAGAATGCACCAACACAGAATTCTAATTTTATTTCTAAAAATCATTTTGATGCAGCTCTGAAAATAATTCACAATATGTGATACTGTAAGAGTTCTCAAAGCCTGCCTTACCCTGTCCACTTTGTCTGGAGTTGTCCAGGGGTCATGTGGGACACTGGACAAAACAATGGCCGCCAGGCTGGAGTTCAACAAACAAACAAAAAGGCATTTGTCTGAGTAGGAAACACAGTAGGAGCGTATTCTGATGAACAGTTGGTGTAATGTTTCTGTGATGGCTGTACATCCACAGAAGCGGCTGAATAAACTTTAGCATAAAGTAAACATCATAATGGGCATCAGTTTAAACATCTTTGTTTTGCTCTCTGTGTGATTGATGCTTTTCAGAAATTGAGCATTCATGAAAAAATGTAAAAGGACATGTATGAAGTGCTTACTGGAACAATGGGCGAGGCAGACTGTAGGGCACAAAAATTGTGCGAGACACTTTATAAAGGTACTTCACCAGGTCGTAAAGGATGTAACGGTTGGGACTTCATAAAAATCACAAAACAACAAAAAAAAATTATTAATTTCTTAACACTTTAAATCTGTGTGATACACATAAATACAGCAGCTGCCTGCTGCTCAACTCGGGTGTACCTCCTGTGTGATGGGACAAATTGTCATTATTGTTAGGACATATACAGTGATGACAATACAATGCACTTTCACTTTCATATAAAGTACAGCCCACAGGTTCACTAGGGAGGCTAATAACTCAGCTAAACAACACTGAATTTTTTTTTTTTTTCATTATTTGTAAGCCATAATGTCCTGATATCCTGACACATGCTCAATAATCCAGGTAGAAAATCCAAAAAAGTTCAATCTGGTCCTCTGGACATTCAAAAAACAAGAAAACAAAAAACAAAACAAAAAAAAATGTAGAAACGTTTCGTCTCTCATCCAAGAGACTTCCTCAGTCTGAGGTGCTGTATTCAGCTCAGTCTCTTAAATAGCACCTTCTCAGAGTGGATCAACCAGTTTGCTGCTGACAACCAAAACCAGCTGATCACATGCTCAAGAAGGACCATCAGCCTAACAGAATAACTGTGTCAACTCTTGAAACTGTGCCTGCAGTCAACCTACTTCACATATGGGGAGCAATATTATAGGCAGAAACATGGATGTGCTATGGGGTCTCCAGTTTCTCCTATTGTTGCCAACCTGTACATGGAGGAGGTAGAAAAGAGAGCCTTGACGTCCTTTTCAGGGACACCACCAAGTCATTGGTTCAGGTATGTTGACGACACCTGGGTTAAAATTAAATCTCAGGAAGTCCAACATTTTACTGACCACATCAACTCTGTGGATAAATACATCAAGTTCACACGAGAAGATGGAAAAAAATGGCAAGTTGGCTTTCTTGGACTGTGAGGTCTCAGTCTCTGATAGAGGACATTTGCAAACCGAGGTGTACCGCAAACCCACCCACACAGACCAGTATTTGCAGTTTGACTCCCATCACCCGTTGGAGCACAAGTTAGGAGTCATCAGGACTCTGTATCACAGAGCAGACAGCGTCCCCACTAGCTCGGGAGCCAGGCAGAAGGAGAAATCCCACACAAGACAGGCTCTAGAGCAATGTGGATATCCTAACTGGGCCTTCCTGAAAGCAGAGAAGAAACCCAAACAGGACTCCAGTCAGCCATCAGGTGAAAAGGAGGAACCCAGACCCAGACCAGTGGTCATTCCATATGTTGAGGGAGTATCAGAGAAACTGAGACGTTTATTTTCTAAATATAACTTCCCAGTGGCTTTTAAACCCCAAAATACATTACGGCAAAGACTGGTTCATCCCAAAGATCCAGTCCCCCGGCACAAACAGAGCAATGTTGTGTATGCTGTTCAGTGTCAGGAGGGCTGTGATCAGTCTTACATCGGGGAAACTAAACAGCCACTGGCCAAAAGGATGGCCCAGCACAGAAGATCAACATCATCAGGCCAGGACTCTGCAGTCTACACTCATCTCCAGGCCAGCGGTCACTCTTTCAGGGATGAAGATGTTCACATCCTGGATAGAGAGGAACGATGGTTTGAGAGGAGTAAAAGAGGCCATCTTTGTGAAAAGAAATCGTCCATCATTAAACAGGGGTGGAGGCCTCCGGGTTCAACTGTCCCCCTCTTACAATGCTGTGATTGCTAGTATCACTCAGCCCTCTGTGAATAGTAAACAGCCATCAGTGTGCTAATGATACATTGTTAGGCTGATGGTCCTTCTTGACCATGTGAGCAGCTGGTTTTGGTTGTCAGCAGCAAACTGGTTGATCCACTCTGAGAAGGTGCTATTTATAAGACTGAGCTGAATACAGCACCTCAGACTGAGGAAGTCTCTTGGATGAGAGACGAAACGTTTCTACATTTTTTTTGTTTTGCTTTTTGTTTTCTTGTTTTTTGAATGTCCAGAGGACCAAATTGAACTTTTTGGATAATGTCCTGATGCTGCTCAATAATCCAGGTAGATGAATCTAACAAGGTTGAGTCAGGTCCTCTGGACGGTTCTTCTTTGTTGTAACATTTAGTTTTTTTTCTCCTGCTGCTGCTTCTTCTTTCTGCTGCTCTCTTCTTCAGGGGTCACCACAGCAAACTAAATTGCACAAAGACTTGGCAATTGCTTTACGCTGGATGTCCTTCCTGATGCAACCACAGACCACCAAGCTACCACAGCCCTCTGTGTGGAGCAGAGAGCTGCTATCTAGGGTGCCTAGAGGAGCAGATGGTGAAGGTTAGGGCATTGCTCAAGGGCACCGATTGAGGCAAATGAAGGTGGAGGCAGGTGTGGATGTTTCACCTTTCTACCCACATTTTGATGTCGGTACTGGGAGTTGAACCAGCGATCTTCTGATTACAGGCCCACCTTCACTAACCTCTGTGCCACCACTCCCAACATTTCATCTTTTATTCAAAAGACAAAGAAGTCATTTGGATAAGACTATCCGTTTCAACAAAAAGACCTGACTCAACCTCGTTAGATAGACGCCATAATCATCAAAATGACACAAAATAAAGTCTTGAAATATTTTACTCTATGTGTAATGAATCTATGTAATATGAGTTTCACTTCCTGAAATGACTGACTGACTGTCAAAAAAAATTTTAATCTTTTTTTTATATATCTTGTGATTCCTTGTGTATGCCCTTTTGTATTGAAACTCTGGCACAACAATTTCCTGCGGGATCAATCTAATCATTAAGCAGCATGGGTACCGCCTTTGTACTTTGACAATCACATTTCAGAATTAGCTATTTGGCTGAACAATTAGGCTTATTTCATCATACTTTTATTAACGAACTTACCCCACTAAAACATAGGTCTTTCCAAGAACATCAGGGTCTTTCACAGCACTGACAATGGCTTTGGCAACATCCACCACCTAGGTGAGAAAATACAAGACCTTATTGCCGGGCTGACTTCATACACAACTAGGTTTGCTAATATCTAAAACCCAAGTTGATCACTTTGTTTCAGCATAAACGGAAAAAATATTTTGCTGACTGAACACTCATTGCTAATAAACTGCAATTGAACAGTACATTTGAATACATCAAAACAAGATTTTAATGCAAGTTAGAAAAACAGAATCTATCCAGTACAGTTCTTTTAACAGTTTTAGCTGAAGAAGCAATGTTCCCAACCACACACACACACACACACACACACACACACACACACACACACACAC